TCATTACGATTAATGTAATTTGTGCGATTATCTTTATTTTTGTAAATTCTTTCACCTTATCACTTTACGTTACTCATTATTAGATCTAATAAAATGTATATAGTTTGTTGTGTTTGAAACATCTTAAATACTGTATATGCCATTGTTTTAATGAAAATGTTGTCATTAACACGGATCAGAGCTTATACACAAAGTATGATCTCTTACAATTTTCCTTATTAAATAAGGATTCACCAAAAAAAAGGAACGTTAGGGATGCTAGACAAATCACGAATTTAATTCGTACCGAAAAACCTATCATTCTAATCCTTGAACCCTTGAAGAATTTTTTCGGCGGTGGCAGCCAGATCCTCTTTAGAGGTTGACTTGGCAGGCCATCCGACACCCAAGCCCTCTTCACTATTAGGTTTGGGAATCTTTTTTTGATTTAATAAAACGAGTGGTTAATCGTTACACGTGTAAGATAAAAAGTTGAACATTGATGATGGTTAACACATACCACGTGGATATGAACATGCTCTACTTGCTAACAAGAGAAAGAGTTCAAACAAAAAAACAATAATCTCAAGACACGTGATAATCAAAATTACAAAAATTTTCGCACCTGATGAGCAAGAGCGCCATTGTTCTTCACGAAAAGAACATGGTTGATAAGTACAGACGCCAAGGAATGTCCGACGTCTTACAGGATAAATCCTATTTAGGTTTACTAAATTACCTGCAAGATATTGTAATTTTCAGCTCCAATTGCATTCGCAACTTTCTTGGCGACCGGAAGTAAGTCGGCTAAACTTTCGTCGGGAAGTTCGTGCAAGAATTTGCTGTGATCTTTTGAAATTGTAACGAAAGCGATTCAGATTTCAAAGAATAGAAGATAACAAAGAAAGATGCATTAAAACTGGACAAACATTTTGGGATAACAAGCTGATTTTTGTTTTTGCAGGGGAATCGTTAGTGAAGTTCAAAGAATCACAAAAGACGATATATTGTGCATACAGTGTGTCCTTCCGACAGGGGGTTGACATCCAGGAAAGCATAGCTATCGATAATTGGAACCAAGAATTATAGATAGAAGTTTCATTATGTAACGACTGAGCAATTTATTTATTTATTTGCTTGTTTGTTTGTTTATTCATTCATTAATTAATTTATTCGATGCACTTACGTATGCTCCGTCTCAAAGATGCGATAAGAAGGAATCTCTTTTTTAATGATTTTACAAAAAATGCAAAGCGGACTTGCTGACATGTTGCATAACAAAGAAAAAAACTTGCGATGAAACCGTACACATCTATATATCTGCACGTGGTCTTATCCTATCACGTGGTAAATTGGGTTTTTCGTTTTTTTTTTTTATTATTATTGGGTTTTTTTTTAAAAAAAAAAAAAAAAAAGAAAAAAAAAAGTAAGATACAGTATATCAGTGATGTGATATAATAAATAATCCTCATGTTTTTTTCTGTAGGAAATCGAAACATGATTTTTCATAAAGTCTTGTGCTTTACTTTTTTCTCGGCGGGTTGACGACTCGGGTGCACATTAAAAAAATGGTACACAATATAAATATAAAAAACAATGATAGGCTATGTATAATGTACTCACACCATAGACATATGGTAAATCAAAATCTCCCAAAGAAAGATGTTAAAAACTTTTAATGACAAACATTAGGCATCCTTGCTAATGGCATTATTAATTCTAACTGTAATCGAGTTATCGGTGGATTTTCCAACTTTGGTAATCACATTATCCATGCTACCAAGAATATTTGGACTCGAATTACTTTCACCATTTTTAGTCAAAATGTCTTTCTTGTTTACGTCGGAACTAGATTCCGTTTTACTCTCGTCATCATCCTTGTCAGCATTCGTATCTTTATATGGATATGTAAATTCGATGTTCTCTCCTTCATCTTCCTCGTGGGGCATGTACACAAACTCGCCATCTTCGGATTTACTTTCACTTTCATCTTCTACACCAGGATAAACAAACTCATGATTATCATCTTCGTTATCTTCATTATTAAAAGGTCTTCTCGTTCCTCCCATCTCGGTGGACTCTTCGTTCAATTTATCAATGGCACCCTGAACGAGGGCAGAGGTTGAGGTTGAGTTATTGTAACTTTGCGATCGAGGAATAAAAACTGACGCAAGCGGATTAAGATTTTTAGCCATTAATGATGCTGGCGATAAAATGGGCGTGCGTGCTCTTTGTGACGATTGTGGAATGGGAATAGCCGCCGTTGAGCTCGTGGACGATGACCCAACATTCATGTCAGTAGACTCGGGTTTTATCGAATCGATTTGGATTGTGAGCTCTTCGGTCTGATTTTTCACCAAAGGTCCGATCGTATTCTCCTCAAATGATAAAACGCCAGTTGAATTGACGGTCGGATTTGATGACTTTTCCTCTGCTTCAGCTTTTGCTATCAAAGAAGAAAAGCTCATGAACTCTGGCTTAGCAAGGTTCTCTGCCGAATTATCATTAGGCTTTGTCTGTGACATAGAACCGATGGCAGAATCATTTTTGGCAGTCGAGGTGCTGGCCTCCATGTTATCGTTACCGTCGTCACTTCCGATATCATATTG